GCCCCAACCCACGTCCAGCCGTCGCAGTTGTCCACTTTGTAGGTTTTAAGGCCCGGGGGACTGCGGGATCACCTGGGCCTATCTCTGCATATGACCCAGGCCCGCATATACCGTCCAGCTTCCTGAGCTGAAGCACCTTCGGCCCTGCCTCTGAGAAAGGCACCCAGCATGGGTTTGGAGGCCGGGGCGCGGAGCGTCCACCACTTTCCGTGAAACTTATTCCAGATTAATCAACTTCACAGCAAGTAAGCTGGTAACGCCAACGAGAGAAGCACGAGCTCCCTCCAAGGCCAGGTCTACTGGGGTTATTTCTTTATTTTGAGGGTATAGCTAACCCATGGAGACTGTCCCGGCCCCAAGTGGTCATCAGAAGAGCTGTGCCCAACCACCAGGAGCTGGACAATCAACTGAAGACGAGCTCCTCCTTGGCTCTCCTGGCTTCCTTTCTCCCTGTTTGTTTGTCTGGGCTTTCCACCGGCTACCAACAGTAAGAGGAGAGCAGGACCACGCAACACTGTACGTGGAAAGAGGAGCCAGAGAACTACGGCACCCAGGATCATAAACCAGATTATCAATTAGTGCTACCCTGCTGTTAACAGAGCTGTTTTGCACCAGGTTCTGTCACCATATGGTGGCTCTGGTTTACCCTGTGGCCAGGAACATCACCAAGGTGGCTGCCGCCGCCCCGAGCGCCCGCCAGCGCTTGTACAACTACTTGTAGCATCTCACCTGCTGAAGAGTACGAATTCAGCACCCAGCGCTTCTCAAATGATACTTAACCTGTCACTAGGACATCTTGGGTGGAAAGAAATCAGCTGTTTTAGTGCCACTGTCCCCAAGTAAAAAGTCCAGCCCTCCCCAGGGCTCCTGCTCAGCCCCCCTGTTACTGAGGGCTGCGTTTTGCAAGCGAGGAAACAGAGGCAGGGGCTCCCCAAGAAACCCCCGGCCACAGGAGGAGGTGAGAGAAGATTTGGGGCCATTTGGGGGATCCTAGCTCATCAGCTGCCTACGCTGCAGGGCAGAGGGGCTCCCTGGCGCCCCGACCACCCTTCCGAAGGGCTCTCTCATCGCGAGTTCCCTTCTACGGGAAGGAAACCCAGGGTGTACCGCTGCCACGAGCTGCCCTGACCGCACCGTAGGCCAGAGAGGCACCACGCGTACCTGGGCTCGGAGCTGGTACTACCCAGCTGTGCTGGCCGGCGTGCTAGGTCCAGCCCAACATCCCCTGCCAGCCTTCCTCCTTCACCTGGCCTTGACGCCGTGGTAACAATGCCACCAAATCCCCACCCGAGTGCCCAAAATCAACTGGGCTCTACCACACGTTAACATCCAGCAGGTCCCAATACAACCGAACCGCTTACCGTAGGCGAAAATCAGGTCCATCAGGACACTGAGGCTGAGCTCAGAGTGCTTCTGAATCAGGTGGTAGGACAAGGCTCGGAGCAGAGGCACACAGCGCCGGTTCTGGTAGGCTAGAGCCAGCATTATTTTCCGGATGTCATCGGGGTTGAACTGTTCAGCAAGTTCCAGAGCCTGCCAAGAAATGTTTTGAGCAGGGGTGTAAAGGGAAAGCACAAAGCGAGGTGCAGACACAGCCTTTAGACGGAGCGGGATGCGCCATCGCTACGGGCTGAGCCCCTCCGAGGGTGACGGGGACTGGAACTGGCCAGCGTTTAGCACACAGCGAGGCTAAGCGGCTGGGAGCAAGCGTAACGGCTCAGGCGGAGGGAGGGCGAGGGGAAGCAGACCCTCGTCCTCTCAACGGAGCTCAGCCGGGATCTCCCTGCTCCGGGTTCCGCCTCCCCCGGCCGACAGGACCTCAGTGTCCACTCCGTCCTGCGCCCAGGCACCGTAACACGCTGCCAGGCAAAGACCGACAGAGGAAAGGCACCCGCCGCTGGATCAGCACCCCGCTTTCCACCGTAATTTCTGCTTCGTTTGCGGGACGTTAACCCAACGTGGTTAGTTTGGGCTCTGCGTAAGCTGACAACCCCGTCAGATCCAGCTACAGCGTTCTGCCTTGTCACACGCCGGTGTTTGTAGCATTTATTTATCCCCAGGGTCGAGGGAGAGGGACAGTGGGGGCTCACGAGCTACAGCTGTCGCTGTGGCAGCCGTTTGGCCAGTCCCCAGCACGGGCTGGACGAGGACCGAATTTGACGCAGCTGCAGTCAGGGCTCCTGCAGTGGTTCCGACCCGAAGGACATTTCCCTGCTCCTGCGAGCGACAGAAACAGGGACCCACTGAGCACCGGAGGGGACAGACCTGCCCCCTCTGAAGATGACGGGTGTCCAGAGGCAGAAGGCGAGGACAGTACGGACACTCCTTGTTCCAGCTCCCCTCACAGCCCGGCTTGTACAGAGAAGCAAAGGACAATGTTTTTGGCAGCTGTGTTATGCTGGCTCTGTAAGTTACCGCTCGCCGGCTGAGCTAAGGAAATTTGAGTGCGTTCTCTGCAAACCTGCTGCAGCCGCAAAGCAAAATGCGTCAGCCCAGCCCGCCTTCCAGCAGCGCAGACCAGCGCGAGTCACCCGCTCGCACCAGTATGGATTGGGAAGGGGCTGGCGACTGCAAGCTCCCCCGTCTACGCGGCTCCTCAGATGGAAACCCCTCTTAGAAGCACCCGTGCACGGGAAGCTGCTTAAACAGCAACCCAGGGAGTACTCCGGAGTACTCCCAGAGTACTCCGGAGCAGCAATGAGCGCAGCCCGTGAGGAATTAGTGTTCCCATATAGGATGGGTTGAAGGGGACGGGGCTCTCCCTTCCACTGCTGTCAGCTGCGGGAGGTGGCCCGTCTGAAGGGAACGGGGGCGGAAGGGAGAGCCCAAGCCCCTACCTTGTCCTCCAGCCGATCCATCAGAGCCGGGGAGACGTGCCCGACCTTGCCCATCAGCGTCACCACGGTTCGGGTGCCCTCGAGCTCTGTCCAACGCAGCTCCAGCTTCTTGATGACTTCGTTCAGCAGCCTGCTCTCCTTCCCCTGCTTGACTGCCAAGAACTCCGCCAGGGAGGCGAGCTGCCTGAAGGTGAGGCGCCGCAGCCGCCACAGCACCTCCTGCTCCACCGACTGCATCTCCCTCCTGTTGCTGTCCATCCCCAGGGAGCAGAGGCTCTTCAGGAGGTTCACCAAGGTGTTATTCCACACCTGAGAAATCTGGGCAGCAGAGAGAAATAAGGGAAAGGTGTTGATCAGAGTGAGCACGAGAGTATTCTGTTACCAGTCACGCCAAACACTCTGCCTCTACAGAAAGAGCTGCACAGCGTCGAGGGGGAGGCAACAGAGTCCTCCTTGGTCTGGGGACATCCAGCTGTCCCCCACCACGACGTGAGACCTCTGCTCCTCCTCGCGGGCGTAGCCTGCACAGTCAGAGACAAGACTGGAGCGACCCAGCGCCCCGGTGAGGAAGAGGAACCTCAATGCCTGTACCACAAGCCGAAGCCACGCACCGATCCCAGCGGTGTGGATGAGCCTCGAGAGGTAACCACACGTCGCCTATAGAGCTGCCATATAGGCGGTGAACTCCCTCTGCCTCGGAGAAGGAAGCTACGCAGATTTGCTACCGGCTGGGTGAAACATTTAAGTAGACTTTACCCTTCTCTGGAGGCACTTACGCTTCCCTGTGGTGCGGCTGGGATATGACACGGGCGGCTGGCAGATCGAAAAGCGGTGGGAAAGACTGGTAATTCGGGGGCAGAAACTTGAGGGTCTCGGGGGGGGTGCCACGGGACTCTGACTCTCCTCAGCACCTCAGGTCAGACGACACTCATCCTATTGGAAAGCTCCAATTTCTCTCCGGTGTCTCCGAAAGGAAGCTGGGCACGAATCCCACCGGCTGCTGGGAGCACCAGGACTTGCCCAGCGCCACGCTCTGCCCGCTGGACTTCTCCGCCTCCGCCGCC